AAAAAATTATTTTTTTTATAAACAAAATTGTTATTAATTTTTTTCTATATTAATGTAAAAAACATAAAATACAATCTTCTCGGCTCTCGTTTAACGGGCGAATTTTAAGTAACAAAGAACTTTCAGTGAGAAAGTTGTTCATTATGGACCAAAGAAGTTTTCTGGAAAATCACAGGGTTAATAATTAATTAGTGTTGAAATGGTGAATGTTTAAAGTTGATACCGTCCGAACGTGTGGCACGCGCGATGGCCATAACCTATGAAACGACACTCCCAAGCCTCCCAAGCACCTGTGGCGAGTGACGCGTGCTACACATTCGGACGGTATCAACTTTAAACATTCACCATTTCAACACTAATAAATTATTAACCCTGTGATTTTCCAGAAAACTTCTGTGGTTCATAATGAACAACTTTCTCACTGAAAGTTCTTTGTTACATAAAATTCGCCCGTTAAACGAGAGCCGTGAAGATTGTATTTTATGTTTTTTACATTAACCACTTGAGCGGCAGTGCGTCAGAATTGGCGTCAGCGTGCAAGTGACAGAAGCGGCAAAAATGCGTAAAAGGCGTCAAAATTTGACTACTATTTTCTCATTCTGTAAGGAGATTTATAATATCACAACAAAGTATTTTTCTTTTTTAAAGTAAATGAGCAGATTTTTAAACAAAAAAATGCTTTTTTAAATATTTCGATTTCGTGAAGAAAAATTGGACTTTTTGTGGTAGAAATTGAAACGCCACTAATATCAAACTATTGAATATTGTTAGCTTTGATCCTTGAAAACTTATTTAAATATTTTAAAAAACATTTTTTTTGCTTACAGGTCTGTTCTTTCACTTTAAGAAAGAAAAATACTTTGTTGTGATATTATAAATCTCCTTACAGAATGAGAAAATAGTAGTCAAACTTTGACGCCTTTTTCGCATTTTTGCCGCTTCTGTCACTTGCACGCTGACGCCAATTCTGACGCCCTGCCGCTCAAGTGGTTAATAAAGAAAAAAATTAACAACAATTTTGTTTATAAAGAAAATAACTTTTTTCCTTTTTTATCATTCGTAGAATATCTTTAGACGTATTTTCTTTTTTGGTACATTGAAAAATATTTAAAATCATCTGAATTATCGCGAGTTGAAGTGAAAAATGTCATTAAATTTGCAGTTTTCAAAAAATCAATTTTTCTCAAATATTTCGAAAACGGTTATAGATACAAAAAAATTTCATAAGAAAAAAAGATGCACAATGAAATTTTCTATAAGGATGTGTATTTAAAATATTAAAATTCAGAAATTGAATTTTAAGTGTCTAGGGGATTTCGATTTCGGCCGAGAAAAATTTACGTGCCCTTCTACGATCCAGGTGCTCAATTTCAATAATAGAGTAGAGGTACCCAAGCTGGACATTTCGTTTAAAATTTTTGTATAAAGTAGCAGCACCTTATGCTTTTTGTTATTTTTGTTGTTAGTATAGACGAAGTATTTGAGGCAAAATTTGTTATTTTAATTTTGGATTTTCAACGGATATTTCTAGTTAAAATACTATTATGTATTGTACAATAATATTATAAAATGATTTTTCCGATATTTTGTTTGAATACAAATTTTTTCTGGGGCTTAAAAAATTGTGGCATGGACCCTAAATGGTTTAGGGTTTAGGTTTTTGTTTCTGACCTCTGATTCGTAATTAGCGACTTCAAAACCCCCGAGTAACCAGTTTGAAATGATTCTGATAAATTTTTACGGACATACACTACCGTCCACGAGTATCAGGACGATTACACGCAACTCTATAAAAAAACATGCCATCACTTTTTCAATCATATCTCGGAAATGAAAGGAGATACAAAAAAAAAACTTAAATACTTTTAGAAAGCTGATTAAATTCTGCGTAAAATAAGCCGTCTTTGAAGTCATTTCGTTAATTATTTTTTAAGTTGTAGAGTAAGAAAGAAATAAACAAAATTATCAAATTTTCTCATTTTTGTCTCTTGACTTCAACTTTTTCAAAAATCTAGAAAAAATTAGATAAAATTTTTCTAAAAACACAGAAATCTTCGTTAGAATTTCAGCTTTAAAATAAGCCTTCGGAAATTAAAAAAGGTTAATCCGTCTTCGATATATCATTAAGCCTGAAATGGGTTTTTATAAAAAGTTCCTGCACTCGAAATTTTCTTGTCAATTTTTGATAATTTTTAAAATTGTAAAAGTTACGCTATATTGAATTTTTTGACATTTATTTTTTTAAATATTAATATTTCCGAAGCCTTTCATCGGATTTTGATAAAATTTACATATGTTATACCTGAAATCATACCTTTTATAATTGTTGTATGTATAATGAAATTTTTTTTTACTTTGGACCAAAACAATAAAAAAAAATTTTTGAACCGTTTTTACTGGAAGGGGACCGATTTTCGAGTATTTTTCGATATACCTATAATAAAATATTCCTTATAATTTCACCTTTATTTTAAGACCAAAAAACTATATAAGTGAAAATTTTAATAATTTACACAAAGCTTTCAGCAATCGACAAATTTGCCAAAAAAATTTAAAAAATAAAATTTTTTTGTCAATTTTTTAAACTCTTGCATATTTTCAAAAAAAATTTAATAGTATATTAAGCAACAAGGGTATAAAGGCAGCCATTTGTTTACGGTGATTTTTTTACTCGTGTCACAAAAATCACCGTAAACAAATTGGCTGCTTTTATTCCCGTGTTCCTTACGATATTTTTTATTCCTAATGCACAAAAGTGGCGATTTAAGATAGCAGACGACAGGGAATAAAAGTCAGTCACTTGTTCGACTTATATGAAAATGGCGGCCGTTTTCTCCCTTGGGCAAAAATAACGCATGGGATCAGCGGTTATGTTTGCACATGGAAGAAAATGGACGCCATTTTCATATGGTCGAACAAATGAGTGACTTTACTCCCTGTCGTCAGCTATCTAAAAGCGCCATTTTTGTGCATGTGGGTTAAAAAATAATTTAAAACTTTTATAGGTGTTATCATTCAAGTCTCACCTTTAACTTAAAATTAAATTAATTAATTAATATAGGTAATTGTAAAGCATTGTAATGTCATGAAATGCTAATGAAAAATTTACTTTGGACGAATAAAAGAAAATAAAAAAAATTGGATGATCAAACTTTTAAATATATTATTAAATAATGAAGGTGGCCCACAATTCCCCAATCTCACCTTAAAAAATATTAAAATTAAAAATTAAAATATATGATATAGTCTGTTTATTATTGTAACGGTGGATAATACCGTCTCTTAATTCAGAAGAGAATATAAGAGAAATCCCTTCCAAGCTTGCGTAACTGTGATGTATGTGTATATTCGGTTTGCGTCTTCGAGGTCCAGGGTTCGATCCCCCCTTGCGTGTGAGATTTATGAATCATAATTCAATATGTTCTATGTTAAATATTAATAATTCTAAGTCAAAGGTAACTTTAAATAATAAATAATAATATGAAAATAATAATGAAAGAAAAATATAATAATATTGCTTCCTCATAAGGAAGCTTTGCATTCGTGACGATTTTCAATTTTTCAAAAGAAGGTTATATGGACTCATTTTCATCTATTACATATGTATATTCAATTCTGAGCAAATATCCAGATGTATGTGTGTGTATGTGTGTATGTGTGTGTGTATGTCACAAAAATTGTGTACAAATTATCTCAAACAAATTTTGATGGATTGTCTTGAAATTTTGCATGTTTATTGCAGTCATTAATACCTAAAATCTGACACAAGGATTTTCAAAAATATCTAAAAAAAAATTTTTATACAATTTTTTTAAAATTCAAAAAAAATTTTTTTTGTATTTTTGTAAATAATTTTTTTATTTGTTAATATTTTAATTAATTATTCTCAAAATTACATTCCTGACAAGAAAACGAATCGATTGATGTATACAAAGTACATTTTTTATCAAAATTTATAAAATTAATAGAAATTTTTCTTTTTCACAAAAAATTCAAATTTTGTATTTTTTCATAATTTATTTAATATTAATATTTTTAAATGATTATTCTATCATAAAAAAAGAAGCAATTTGCATATGAAATAGAGGTGTGCATTTAATCGAGTCGAACCGAACATTAATCGACTCGACAACAGAAAATTCGAATCATTTCGAATTGCAAAAGTTTGCAAACCGCAATATAATTACATTTAATTTATGAATATATCTTGCTGCATCAAAAAGAAATTTCCTTAAGAAGAATGTATGCTTTGATTGTTATGCTTTTGAAAAATCATAATTTGGTTTTCATGGAGATTTGTACCAAAAATGAAGTAATGAATATATTATTAACTTTAGTAAATATTTTATATGTTTGATTGGATTCTATCCCGATTCTATGCGATAAATTTAATTTTATACATATGTTTAGATGGAGTTTGCTAAAATTTTGTAAGTGAATTACGTCACGAATTTATATTTTATATGTTGAGGAAGCTAAATGGTCATGAAATGAATAACTTGTTTTTTTAAACTCACTCAAGTCTCATTTAACCATAGAAAGTCCAAGGGGCCTACCAGCAGACCAATCACAGGCTTCACGGTCTGTCCCCTATTTCCCTACACGGAAAAAATTCCGGGACATTAGATGCGCCGAGGACAGTGTCAACAGCAGTACATTTCATTTTGCACGTCTGAGGTGCCATTTCGAGATATCAGACGTACATAATGCACGTCAGATACTCCAAACTGGCACAGATGGCGTGCAAAATAAATGTAGAAGAAAATTTGACACAACCTGTACATCTGACGTGCTGGAACTTTTTCCGTGTAAAAGTCCCCTTTTTAATTTTGGCCCCTATTTCGCCTAAAATACTTTTTAGGGTCACTGTGAAGCCTAGAATCACCATCACCTTAGGGTGATGATCACTGAGTAGGTTCTATTATTATTTTTATTTCATTTGTCACAAATAATTTAATAAATTGTTTTATAAAAATTAAAGTACTTTTTCAATATTTCAGGTGGCATTGAAGCAGGTTTTGCTTGTACCATCTGGATTCCGATAGCAGAAAAGTCTCGCCTTTCCAGTGAAGACCCTAAACCCAATTATACCATCAAGAATATTTGTGATCTGTCGAAAATCTTAAATCGGGGTCCTGATGCACCTGAGTTGGAGGATTGCTCTTCAAATGCTTCCGATGGAATGTGACAATATCATTCAATCTATAAGAATGTCAAATTTTTGGATATTTGGTGGATATTTTTACAGAAAAAATCAAGTGCATTAATTGTTTATGAAAGGGAACTTCGTAAACAAGTCAAGACAAGGCTCTTATTAGTTTTTAAAAGTTTTTACGCTTGTTATTATAGCGTGCCTTTTTCCATTTGTAGAATAATGGGGGTAGGAATGGTGTACTGAAAGTCTTATTTTAGGAAGAGCGATTTTATGATTGTGTTAATTCTTGTCATTAGTAGTTGAATATACTAATAAACAATTTAGTTGAAATTAGTTTCTTGTTTACTTCTAAGTATAAGTGTCCAAATTCTGTAACAATTTCATTTTGTTGATAATTAAAGCCATTAGATGCAGTTTTGACAAAAAATAGATTATAACATTCATAACACAGGCACAAAAAAAATTAAAATTGGTCTGTTTATTGAACCAACCTAGATGTTTTATCGTATTTTTGCCCGCTGAAAACGAATATGAAGTCAGAATTGCTCCATCACGCTCTGTTCTTTTTTAAATCGAAAAAACTACCCTTAATTGTACAAATTCATAGTTTAAAGTAAAAAAAATTAAATAGCAGATTGTGTTGCAAAACAGAACAATAAATTTATGTTCTTCTGTTACAACAACTAAGAAACAATGTCAAAATTAAAACATCACCCTCTTTTTTAAATAAAAAACTACCCTTAAATGTAAGTAAAAAGAAAAGGAAAAAAAATGATTCGTGAGTGTTGGGTTGGAAATAAGATACAGAAATATATGGTAAAGTTATTTTTATTTATTGCAGAAAAATTTGAGGGTGGTGATTGAATTCTGTCGCTGCTTTTTAGTTGTGGGAACAAAAATACAGAAACGCATGCTTCTGTTTAAAAAATTTTTTTTCATTTCTTTCTAGTTAACTCTGGGTTCTTCTTTTTAAGGGTAGTTTTTTATATAAAAAAATTGAAGGGTGATGGAGCAATTTTTATACTTTTTTGAATTATTAAAACAAAAATACATAACGTATGCTTCCATTTAAGAAGTTAATCTTTTTTTATTTTTTTCCTGTCAAGTCTAAGTTTATCCTCTTAAGGGTAGTTTTCTTTAATTTAAACAAAAAGTTGGAGTGTTTTTTAGTTGTTGTAAAAGAAGTTCATAAATATATTGTTTTGTTTTAAAAAACAATCTATTTTTACATTTTTTATTACTTTAAACTTTGAATTTGTACATTTAAGGGTAGTTTTTTTATATTTAAAAAAAGCAGAGGCTATTAATTGGAGCAATTCTAACATTGTTTCTGAGTTGTGGTAAGAAAAGTGTATATATTTATTGTTCTGTTTTACAACATAATCTGATATTTAATTTTTTTACTTTAAACTTTGAATTTGTACATTTAAGGGTAGTTTTTTCGATTTAAAAAAACAGAGAGTGATGGAGTAATTCTGACTTTATATTCGTTTTCAGCGAGCAAAAATACTATAAGACAGGTAGGTCTGGTTTAATAAACAGACCACTTTTATATTTTTCTCTAGCATATTTTTTAAAAATTGCAGAAAAAGTTTAAAACTTATATATATATATATATATATATATATATATATATATATATATATATATATATATATATATATACATCTTTAATTTAAAACTAAAAGAGTTAAAAATTCTTATTAGATTCGCGAGATATCATTACAAATGTCCGAGCATGTTTTTGGACAAATGCATTGAATTTGTCGATTTTGTACTGTTACTGATTGAAAATTCTCGTACGTTTATAATCATATCTCGCGAACCGAATATAATTTTTCAACTGAAATTAAAGATGATAATCAAATAATGACACCTATATAAGTTTTAAATTTTTTCTCTAATTTTTTCAAAACATGACAGAAGTTAAAAAATTCCCAAAAATCTTTTGAGGTTTTTTTAATTTATCGATTTCTAAAATCTTTGTGTAATTTATTAAAATTTTTAATTGTATATCATTTAATAATAATATTTATAAGAATATTAAAGAATATTATAAGCGAGAATGGTAAATTAATAAGCTTTGGAATGGTAAATTTACTAAAATGGTAAATTTTTTTACTAAAAAATCGTGATTTAAAGATTGGAACAATCAATGAATCAATGAAATTTTCTTTAGAGTAGTAGTGTTTACAATTTTTTGTCTTTTAATTTCCAGCTACTCATTATATTGATCAATATTACTAAATCATCTTCATTTGAGTTATGTAACAGGGTTTGAATTTTAATATTGTTAGTGCTTATTAGTCAATTAATGAAATAATATGTTTGTAACAATTTCAACGTATAAGCGTTTCCTTACGGTTTGAACAGTAGTTAACTGATAAATGGAAAAGTCATATAATTATATTTTTTCATAATAATAACTATTTATTAAATGGAAATAAAAATCTTAAAATAACTATTTTTTCAACAAAAATTTTTGCAGAAAAATAAAATTAAAATTATTATTCTTATTATTAAAGGGAGTTAAAAGATATATCCATTTTTATTGAAAAAATAAAATTAATTATTACCATTTAAAGTATAATTATGTAAAATATTTTTATTTTTTTGCAAGCGAATAAAAAAATAAATAATAATATCCAAATAATTACTTGTTTCTCATTTCTCTATACATATACCATCAACTGGGCTAATTATATCAATAAAACGCTACTTTTCTTCTCATGACTTGATTAAATTTCATAACTTATAGAAAATAATGAACTATTTATTGATGTTGTGAACATCATTATAAAGGTTTCCTGTCAGTTATTTGGTGACAAAAAAATCTTTGTTAAAATTATAGAAATTGTGGGCATAATAACCTCGTAGTTTGAGCTATTATTTTCATCAAATTTTGTTTAAATTTGTTAAATATCCCAATAAATATTTTACTGTTTTAACAAGGGTAAGTGCTTCATTTGCTGCGGATGCTTTAATTGAGGCGCATGATTATTCCCCAAATGTCATTTGACTGAACTGTCATTTTACCGAATTGCATTTATCCGAACTGTTATTTTAACGAAATGTTACTTTTGTGAATCGACGTTTTTACGAATTGACACTTTTGCGAAAAGTCATTTTTGCGAAATATCATTTTTACGAATCGTTATTGTTCCGAAATGTCATTTTTTCGAATTGTCATTTTTACGAAATGTCACTTTTGTGAATCGCCATTTTTACAAATTGTCACTTTTGCGAAAAGTCATCTTTGCGAAATATCATTTTTACGAATTGTCATTTTTTACGAATAGTTATTGTTCCGAAATGTCATTTTTGCGAATTGTCATTTTTACGAAATGTCATTTTTGCGAATCGCCATTTTTACGAATTTTCACTTTTGCGAAAAGTTATTTTTTTCAAATTGTAATTTTTGCGAATTATCATTTTTTTCGAATTGTCATTTTTGCGAATCGCCATTTTTACGAATTGTGACTTTTGCGAAAATTGATATAGTAAACTTGTATGCATAATATATAGATTTACTGTAGCAATTTTCGCAAGAATGACAATTCGCAACAGTGAAATTTCGTAAAAATGACAATTCGTAAAAATGATATTTCGCAAAAATGACTTTTCGCAAAAGTGTCAATTCGTAAAAATGTCGATTCGCAAAAGTGTCATTTCGTTAAAATAACAGTTTGGATAAATCCAATTCGGTAAAATATGACAGTTCTGTCAAATGACATTTGGCAAATAATTATGCGCCTCCTTTAATGCGTTTGTGCAATGTTTCATCATTTATCACTTAAGAAAATATTAATGTTTAAAATTTTTTGAAAAAATTATTTTGAACAATACTTTTTGATTTTTTAAATTTGGTTCAATGTTCTAATTTTATAAGCTATTAATTGTAAAAATTTCTGAAGAATACAAACAATGTTTATTATTTAATATTATTGAATTTATCACTTGGTGAAATTATATTAATATGTATAAGAAGTTATCAATCCTCCAAGTCAATCAATTGACTTGAATGATTGACTTGGAGGATTGATAACTTCTTATACATATTAAATGTTTATTATTATTCTTATTATTAAAGGGAGTTAAAAGATATATCTATTTTTATTGAAAAAATAAAATTGTAAAAATTCAAAAGATATCTTGGCTCAAATGGTCAGAAACTAGTGCACTTTACCATATATGAAATCTGGCCTGTAGATAAATTGAAATCCAATAAAAAAGAAAGAGTTTAGAATAATATTTTTTAGAAATTATTCAACAAATGTGAAAGTAAAAAAGAACTTAAAGAAATGTAAACATTAATGAAAGTTATTTTTGCGGTATAATCACAGTGTAATTTTATAAGGATATTACATTAAATTATAAAAATTAATAATCATAATGATTATAATATATTATCAGAGTAAAGGAATCAATTAAGACTGATCTTAATAATTTTTGGAGATTTGTTAATAACATGAGAAATAAAACAAATGTACCAATTATATGTATTTAAATGATTTTTCAACGTATGATAAATTTTAAAAATGTTTATAAAAACCTAACTTATGATATGCCAAATCTGATATTGGAGAGGGATACTATATATTTTAATAACGCCTGTGCCTCAAAAAAATTATTTTTGAAAAAAAGAATTTAATAATAAAACTAATGCTGGACCTGGCGGAATTCCACCAGGTTTGATTTATTTTTTCTTATAAAAATAATGTAAAAAACCCATTTACATTTTAAATGTCATTGAAAAATGTTAGGGTAAAATCTACTATAACTAATTATGTATTTTTACGAGACGCATGCTTATTCCCGAAATCTTTTTTGACCAAATAGTTATTTGATATAAAACTACTTAACTTAAAATTCACATAATAAGCACATTATTTGACATAAATTTCATTGCACACAAAAACCATTTAACATAAATATCATTTGTCATAGAATTCATTAAACAGAAATATTATGTTACATAAAACTCAGATAACTTAATTCCCATTTGACATAACAATTATGTAACATAAATTTCT